ACAGGCTATTTTCTTGGTTTAACTAGTTGGTTAATTATTGCCATAGATTCTAGGAATTGATTATTGCTGTAACAACATTACCGTATCTCTATTTCTTTCCTCCTTTCTGTTTGTCTTACCTCTCTTTTTACTTGATACAGCACAGCAGGGTTACCCCATCCTCATGACAGTAGTGTAGGTACAGAAGCTGCATAGACCACCAGTCAAACTTTTAGTCAAAGTTTGGGGTCTAGACAAGTATTGCTAATGATTAAATATCTGTATCTATAAATCTGCGTACTCATGCAATCTGTTTAGTAACACTTCATGCTAAAGCAAACTGTAGGGTTGCTATGAGATAGAAGAATACACTGTATGTATGTATTGAAATTATAGGACGAAACCACTAATCATCTGACATTGTTGACCAGTTGCAGAAAATTGAGTATCGGTTGGCTGTTTAAAACAGTTGTGCAAAAAGTTTAACTAGCTTGGTCATGAGCTTGTGCAGATTTGGCTGTGAAACCATGCCATTTTCTGTTCCTTCAGTAGTATTTCTGTTAAATGACTTATCCTTTGGAATAAAGTGTGAGATATAAGGTGAGACACTGTAAAGTTGAGAATTTAAAGATGAGCCACATGCTGTGACTGGTATTTGAAAGAGACAGAGAAGTATTAGCTGTCTGAGAGTTTCCTGCTTTATTGGTAATCATTACCGAATGGCTCCTGGAAAGAGAACTGTCTGCTCCTTCATCGAACAAAATTAGTATGGAGTGACTAAGAGCACATTCCCTGTGTGCTGTTCTTTCGAGCAACAACAGCAAACTGCCATGTTGAAGGCTGGTAATAAAAAATGGATGTACTTCACAAAAAAACCTGGCATATGTGACTGACGGGCTTTATCTATCTGTGATAGATTTCTTTTGTTCTTCCTTTTATATAGACTTATCTAGACTTTCTCCTTGTTCTCCCCTGTGTGTTTCGAGTATACACAAGCACAGATCTCTAGCTGTTTATATCTATACGTGTGTAGATATGTGTGTGTGTCGTAGTGCCTCGACACTACATACAGTGTATAATTTTTACTTCTTGTATCTTCTCTTTGCTAGGGTTGCCCTTCCTCCCTGGAGAGCACAGTGGTTGCTGTGATTTTTATAGTGATGTGAGATGCGTTTATGTGTGCTTGTGTATGTGATAATATTTTACCAGTGATGTTATTTATAGAGGTCTACTACAACAGAACATGAAAAATTGTAATCAAACTGTAGAGCCGTAAGAATGTATACATGTGTTTGCACCTTGTCTGGTGGGTAAGAGGTTGGAAACTAAAGCTGCTGGGGACTTTGTTATGGAGAGTACATGGCAGATCAGGTTTATGTCCCCTTAAGTTAATTGCAGGTAACACCCGAGTAACAATAGCACACTGCCAAGTTTAAGTCTGGTAATAAAAAATTGATTAGTACTTCACAAAATTAGGGGCATGTATTAAACGTTCAGTGACTTTTCTTACGCAATAATTGTGTTTTTATGTGGAAATAATAATAACCCTGCAATATGGCTTCACCCGTGCACGTACACATCCACTCCCCGGCTCCCCAACCGACTCCTATTAGTGTGATTGATATGTGTTTCTGTGTTAGTGGCTTATAACTTCCTACGGCAGTTTATTGGTTTCAGGCAGGTTGTCATGCTGTTGCAGACAGAGCTGACTGCCAGAGAAGCCTATGCATGCATAAAACAACATTTTGCCGCATACACCTTGTACAGTCTGACAAAACAGCTGTGTTTGTGTTTCTAAAGAGGTTGAGTGATTTATTGTTTTTGCTCACTGAATCTTTTTTCATTAATTAATATATACTATTATCAAGGATGATTTTATTGGTCTTTTCTACCACCCACCAAGGTTTTATGGACTGTAATGGTATGATTTACAATATTTTATTTTACATAGTTTTTTTATTTAACACTTTTTATGAGAGCAATGTTTTACCTACTGCTGTGTGCATTATGTGCCCACCTAATTTTACCACATAACCTGTTATTATACAATAAAAAAAAGTTAATTTTCCTTATCATGAATAACGACAGTGTGATAACACGTGAGGGACAGTAGTCACATTCATATGTATATTAAACCTGGCAGATGAATAGATTAAATGCAGACAGACTTGGGTACTATTTCCTTTTTTCCACTTCTTTTACATTTTTCCACTTCACTTCTTAATTTCACACACACAAGCATTAATGAATTGTTGAGAAGATTTTATCCTACCAGTGTACCTCCAGTGTACCACACCTGTCATTTTTACTTCCTGGCTAGGAAGAAGAAAAAGAAGATGTACTTTATTGATTGGGAAATTGGTTTTTTCACTCTTTTTTATACACACACACACAGGCTGAAATGCACACTTCATACACATGTGGACATGCAAAGGGGAGAGATGGTGGAGTGATGGGGGTTGCATATACAAGCTTGGATGATGAATGAAAATGAAAATTGCTAAATATCTACTGCACCGTCTTACTAAAAAGAATAGGATAGTGAGTTGCACAGTGTTGAAATAAAATGAACCTGCACTTCATGTCCTGCTACAGCTGTACCACTGTTGCCAGTGCCCCATGAGCAGTTTCGGGGGTTAGGTTGCCTTGCTCAAGGGTAGCCACAGGAGGTGAAACTGGGCACCTCTCCAGCTACCTGTGGGGTCCCCAAACACTCCATATTTTGTGGTCTGTGGACTTGAACTGGCGCCCCCTCCGTTCCCAAGCCAAGTCCGCTACCTGACTGGCCTACTGCCCTCCAATGATCGCTCCCAGGATGATGCCTCCCAATGATGCCCTCCAAGTGATGCCCTTCATAATGCCCCCCAGTGGATGCCCTCCAGTGGATGCCCTCCCAGTGATGCCCTCCCAATGAAGAGGACAGTAGTTGCTGTGCATATACAAGCTTGGATGATGAATGAAAATGAAAATGCAAAATATCTACTGACCGTCTACTAAAAGTAATAGATAGTGAGTGCACAGGTTGAAATAAAATGACCTGCACTCATGTCTGTACCAGCTGAAGGCTTTCCCACAATATTTTGTCTGTGGTTGGTAGATGACAAGGAGTTTTTGATCAATTTAGGAAGAAACAGAAAAAAATCTGAGCAATTTTGGAAATGTTTTTGAGCTTGAAATATAAACTATTAAGTTGTCTTACCTATTTATTAAAACTTATATTGTTGGGTATGGAATACAAATAAAATAGAGGTCTGTTATTTAGGATTGTACTAAAATTTGTAATAGTAGAGGTTGACTCCTCTCTACGACAGCTTGTTATTTTTGATAGTGTTATTAAAATATTGTTTTTATCATTTTGATGGCAAACTATTGGCTTTTAGAAAATAACAATCTGATGATTGTGTTTAGTCACTCCACCAGCTCTGCACAGAGCTTTGACTTTTTAATCTGATAAACTGTCAATATGTCGTGGCGACTTGGACATAATGATGTTTGTGACTTTGCACATGTGTGTATTTATGTGTGTGTGTGTTGCAGAGGGAGAATGATAGCTAGAGGAAGAAAATATTATGTTTTCTAAGACCCTAACCAAATCAGATAAAACAACGCCTTTTTTATCACCCTTTTGTTTAGTTGGCAATAAAACACACATCACAACAAGCTGATCAGTGGCAAATCATCCCTGAGCCTCTTCAAGGCATTATACACACAAACACACACTCACAAACACAAACTCAATGCTCTTCCCACTCATGTGTACATTGGCTGCCAGAGCTGTCTTTGTTTCCTATCACCATAACAACTGCCTCGCAGAACATCTACAAAAAAAGAAAGAGCTGTAGTGAATTTCTCTGACTCAGTTTGACTTGGAGATGGTGAGAGTAGCGGTCGGCAGCTCCTCGCAGCATGTTGGTGCGGTGTGTGTGAACAAGAGGCAGGCTTGTACAGGAAGCTTGCTGCAGATGACTTGGTGTAAAGGGAAAGGGGGTGTGGGATGTGAAATTCGGATGTTGTTGTAGTGTGACTTATCAGAACGAGGGATATACAGTATATGATGCCGCACATGGTGAGTGTCAAAACGGCTGCTGCATTCTGTTCGCATTCTTGCATGTGAGTGTACATGTTTGTATGTATGTGTTTAAGTTGTTACATTAATTGTTGTGTGCTAAATAATTAAGTTGTGTTAAATGTGTGTGTGTGTGTCTGGAGGCTTTTGCACATGTGGATGAAACCTTTAGAGAGTGCAGTAATAATGATTATGATTGTTTTTTTAAATGTTAAGTATTAAATTATAATTAAACTATAGTGTAGTGAATTTGTTTTAATAATTCATGTTTTACTTGCTGTCTTTCGTAAATACAGTAAATAGTCATCCTGGGCTATAATTTTATGTTTTCAGATAGATAGAATGTTTGTGCTGGTACCTTGCTCATAGCTTCATTTTCACTCTATACTCTACAGGCTTACACACATCCACAGAGGTGATGAATATTTTTAATCACAAGTCACAGAGGAAATTAGAGTATTTTTGTGTGTGTGTGTGTGTGTGAGTATGTGTGTATTAGGATTTTGATGGGTAGGACTTGCACGTGGGTTTGTGCATGTGTCTCTGCTTGTTTTATTAAAATAGTATTAAACATCAACGTAAGACCCAATGATTTAAAGCTCTCAGGCACTGTACAATATTATAACCATTATATTTGAACACAAAATGAGACGTTAGCCTCGGGATCTAATTTTCTTGACACTAAACGTCTTTATTTTAGTGTTTCTTTACAGCCCTTTCTCTGTCTTTTTTAGTCCGTCCTATTATAGCTTATATATCTACTGCACATGGTCCATTTGCTTGGCATGACAGAGCAGAAATAAACCTTCAAACATACAAGGAGAGAGCAGCGACTTTAGCTTTCATCTGAACTGCATTATTAAACGTCCCCATCCATATGAGTCTTACATCACCCAATCACAGCTGTCTCTTCCTCTTCTTCCCCTCTCCCCATTCCCTTGTCTCCCTCCATTAGGCAAACTTGAAGAAGTTTATGGAGTATGTGCAGCAGAGGAACATTGAAAAGGTCTCAAGGTTTCTGGAAAAAGGCCTGGACCCCAACTTCCATGATCCAGACACAGGAGGTAAGGAAGTTTGTGTTGTCCCTTTCCTTCCCTGCTCTACTTAACTAATTGTCTTTTTTTCAACCTTGATTTGTCTTCTCTTGTGCTTTCTCTCTCTCTGTCTCTGCCTCAAAATGACCATGTATGGATTTTCTGAAATAAGCCTTCTGCATTTCTAGGCAAAGCTGGATTACTCTCTTTGCTAAGCTCCTCACATTTATGCAAATGTTTGTCCAGCCATAAAGGAGATTTCCCTGTTGGGTGACCTGTAGCCTGGCTGAGGAGCTGTGAAGCGAGGGATACATGAGAATAGGTTGGTTTAACACCAACAGGAAGCAGCCACTTATGCAGACCGGAGGGTGACAATCACGACAGCCAAAGCAGTTATCCAAATGCAAAATCTGTAAAACATCTGACTGTTGTGGGACATTTTGTCATCAAATATTTATTTATTTATTGATATACAGTTTAAAATGTTCATTTTCTAAGAAGAATGCACAATGTCACTGGAAATTCTAATGATAATGTTTTTTTTGATATTGTTTGTTTTGCTCACCCTTGGGTTTTACAGAATGTCCTCTAACACTGGCAGCACAGCTGGAGGGATGTGCAGAGCTCATCAAGTTGCTGAAGAGTGGAGGGGCACATCTGGACTTCAGAACAAAAGATGGCATTACTGCCCTACACAAGGCCGTGCGCAGCAAGAACCATACAGCGCTTATAGTGAATATAATACAAACACACACACACATACATATACACAATCATACCAGAAAGCTGACTCATCTCTTTTATTTCTTTTGCTACACCAATTGTCTGCTTACAAACTTTCCCTCTGGGAAAGAAGAGTTTGCAGGCAGGCAATCTGTGGCAGAGGGTGCTTGAGCAATTGAGTACAGAGGGTGCTTGAGCAATTACTAAATATATGAGGCTTAACATGCCCTCTTTGAATGGGCTGGCATATTCACTGAATGGCCTTGCATGTGTCTGGTTTGAGGAGGCTTGTAATCTAAATGAGAGGGTTTACATGAGTCATATAATTGATTTCTTGTTGAACCATTGGAATTGGTTATTTCCGCTCAGGCATAGTCATTGTCCACATTCAAAGCACTTTAAAAACTTAAAGTAAGTCTACGGAAGGAAATATTTTGTCCCACAGAACAGGAATGCTCATAATAATTGATCAGTACCACTGACTGAATAATTACTTTGCTGAGGTTCCTGAATTTTTTCTTCAGGCATGTGTGTGTATGTAATATAGCCCTATATACTAGATGCAACAGATACTGGGGGCTGTATGAAGTAGTTTAAGCATTATTCCCACCCTAACCTTCTTCTTTTCCCACTAGACACTGTTGGACTTGGGTGCATCACCTGACTATAAAGACAGCAGAGGGTTGACTCCTCTCTACCACAGCTCAATGGTTGGAGGAGACCCCTACTGCTGTGAGCTGCTGCTGCATGATCATGCACAGGTTGGCTGTGTGGATGAAAATGGCTGGCAGGAGATACACCAGGTACTACACACTCAGACACACAAACACACAGATAGAACAGTGATGGGTTGTGTGCAGAATATAAATGCAGGTGCAGGGTAAGAGGTCTGGTTTTCAGTTTCATTGCATTGATTTTTGTGTTTTCCTCAGTTTGAGAATCTCTTTTGTGGTGGCCCCTTGGGGGGGTCATGTGCTGGTGAGAAGCTCCAGCTAGGGAAATAAGTTTTTTTCCAGTCTAAAGGACTGGATATTCAGCATTTTGAAAGACTTTTCCATCTGCACTTTTCTCTACATTTCCAAACCGAAGAAATAAACTATTTTGTTATTTCTACAAATGCATGCTCAAATTAATTTTGTATTTGGAAAACCACAACTGACACAAATTCATTAATACCCACAAAGTTACTCATTCTACTGTTGCTGCAGCTGTATCTAATCCAGTGCCTGGCAGTTCAAGTAGTGGTGTATATCTGTGTTAATTGTGGAAATGGGTTCTTTACTTATGAAGAGCAAACATAATGCAAACATAATGGAGGCTAGTGTCTGCATGCTCTTTTTGTTTGTTTCAGTGCTTTTTAGCTTATATTATTATTATTATTTCTTTTATTGTTGCTAAAACCCGTGCAATGCTCTCTCCATTGTTATATACAGAGTTAATGTTTTTATTGTGCACTGTCCTGTTCAAATTAAAAGAAAAATAATAATAAATATAAGCATAAAACACTGAAACAAACAAAAAGAGCATGCAGACATCTAGCCTCCATTTATGTTTGCATTATGTTTGCTCTCATAA